CAGGCCTTGAGCAGCTCCTCCCTCTCCAACCTCTGTGCTCAGAGCTATTTCTCTCACTTTTCTCCTCACTCCTCTCCACCAGCACATCATGCCCACCTAATGCCTACCACCACAATAAGCCCTCCACTGACACACAGGTTTAGTCTGCACAAAGCTCTTTCTCAGGCTACTTCAGTTCCTTCCCTGAAATCCGTAACACTGAGACCAAAACAGGCTGATTTGCTTTCATTCTCTCAGGGGAGATGAGATTCACAGCCCCCAGCATGGGGTTTTCCCCTCCCTGCCTCCTGAAGCCCCAGGGTATCAGGCAGGCTGCACAGACTGGCCTTACTGGAACCTCTACCAACAGCATCTACCATTGACCATGGCAGGTACATGGTCCTGAGATCCTTGCAAGCCAGCAGCTTCCCTCGTCTCCATGGGAGCTGACACCAGCTGATCAAAAGGCAAGCCAATCCCCACTTCACCTAAAGAAAATTCACCTGTCGTGCTTCAGCTGAAGCAGTATGGGGGCTTGTTTTGCTTCAGAAGGGAAGAAAAAACTTTTTTTTTTTAAGAAATCCCTGTAGAAGATTAAGGAAGTAATCTGTCCCCTTCACACAGCATGTCCCCTTTATATAGCATGCTTATTACAGAGGTTCCTCTGCTTTCAGAATAGCATTCTCCATGTTTAGCTCTCTCCCATATACCATTGGGCCAGACATAAAGCATTCATTTTTGAGGTTACAGCTGGTAACAGCAAGAAAGGCTCAATACCACCAGCTAGGGTAGCTTGGCACAGAGAAGCCACCTATGGGAAATGGCTCCTCAAGGAACTTTTTTTAACCCAGTACACAGAGGCCTGGCACTTTTTTGGTTCATGGTGTAGAATATAAGTTTGGCCAGGAAATTTAACTTAAGATCTATAAAAAAATTACCATGAGGGATTAAGAAAAAAAAAAAACTTCAATGTTAGCTAATCCATCTTCAAGCCAAAGCAATGAAGAACCTCTGTATGAGTAGAACATCAAGTGCTACAGCCCTCAAAGCAACTGTTTTAAAGGTTTAATTTGAGCATAACAATACCACCAAGGATGACATTTGTAGACTGTCACTGATTCTGACCAAAGTTTTAACTAGGTGAGTAATGTGATCTTCCTGAAGTCAGGAAAGAAAAAGCAGAAGGAAGGGCACACCATGAAGCCAAGGACTCACTGTCTCTGTAGTTTTCAACAGTATTGCAAAGTAGATGGAATCAGACATGCCTTAAGAGACATCTCAAGATCAGCTTTACAGGACTTTAAAAACCTCAGTTACAGACATAGCTCAAGCTACTCATCTTGCATCTCAAAATGAAAGGCCTCTTTACCTCTTTCCTATATTTACAATACTTCAAACACTTATTTTTTTTCAATGATTTCAAGCTCCTATTCCCATTTAATCCTGTTAAACAACGTGTTTTTCCATTTAGGATGAAGAAACCCTTTCATCCATGCACGTGTTACAAGCACGTACACCTACATTTTAAGTGTTCAAAGCTTTCCCTGTAGTGTTAGATATCTACATCATGCAGTTTATGTGCATTTAGGTAGCACAAAGAAAAGACCAAAAGACCTGCATACCTATACTGCAGTTTGATGGGAATTTACTCGCTTATCTTAATTTGGACTAAAAGCGTGATTGAAATTACATGACTACAGCTCTTCCTAATAGTCTAACAGACAGATTTTTCAGATGTACACAAATGAAAGCAACCCAGCCTTTTCTAGTAACAAAGATATGAAGAGGTATTGTGGAGTCACAGTATGGTTAAATTGGAAGATTCTGGTAACAAAGATATGAAGAGGTATTGTGGAGTCACAGTATGGTTAAATTGGAAGACACTTCTGTAGATCACCTGGTCCAAACCCCAGAAAGGGCACAAGCAGCTCTCAGCCTTTCCTCACAGCAAAGGTACTCCAGTTACTGAAGGCAAGGAATACAAGGAAGGCAATATCCATTGCTCTTCCCTCATCCACCACGCTGGTCATTTCATTGTAAAAGCAAGATGGCCAAATTTGACTTCCCCTTGGTGAATCCACACTGGCTACGGTTGATGATCTTCTTGCCCTTCACCTGCTTAGAAAATGTTTTCCAGGATTAGCTGTCCCATCACATTCCCAGGGACTGAGGTGAGGCTGACCAGCCTGTTGTTCCTTAGGTTCTGCTCCTTGCACATCTTTAAGAAAGAGACATTTACATTTCTCCAGTCTTCAAGCACTTCTTCTAGCTGCCATGACCAAAGAAAGATTACTGCAAGTGCCCTTACAGTGACAACTATCAGCTCCCTCAGCATTCAAAAGGGCACCTTATCAGAGCCTATGGACTTATAGCTCAGTCTGCTTAGTATTCCCTGACTTCATGCTCTTACCATGGCTGCATTTTCCTTGCTCCATTCTTCCCCTGGTTTCTGAGACCTGCAGTTCCATAGGGCTGTTCTTGCTTGTAACGCTGAGGCAAAGAAGGGATTCAGTACTTTTGCCTTTTCACTATCCTGTGTAACCAAGTCCTCTGTTTCATTCTGCAATGAGCTCACATTTTCCCTAGTCTTCCTCTGTCATTGATGAGTACATCAAAGACTTTGTATAAAAGACTTTGTTGTTGTCTTTGACATCCTCAGGCAGATTCAATTCCATTTCCAATTTAGCTTTCCTAATGTCATCCCTGGATGCTCTGCCAGTGTGTCTGTATTCCTGCCAGGTTACCTGCCTTTGCTTCCACCCACTTTGGGTTTCCTTTTATGTTTGAGTTTGGCCAGGAACTCTTTGTATATCCATGCAGGCCTTCTGGAGTTTTTGGTGGACTTCCTCTTTGCTGGGATGCTCTGCTCCTGAGGTTGGAGTAGGTGATCCCTGAATACTGCAGAATGTTAGCTTCTCTTCCCTCCAGGACCTTATCCTACAGCATGCTACTAAGCAGATACCAAAAAGGCCAAAGCCTACCTCCCTGAAGCCCAGGGCCATGAGCTTGTTTATCACCATCTCTGCTTCCCTAAGGATCTTGAACTCATCCATTTCATGGTCACTACAGCCAAGACTGCCTTTGACCTTCACATTCCCAATCAAACCCTTCTTTGTTGGTAAGACTGAAGTCCAGCAGAGTGAGTCTCTGCACTGGCTTCTCTATTGCTTGGAGAAGGATGTTATCATCAACACATTCCAGGAACTGCTTATGCCCTGCTGTGTTGTCCTAACAGATATCCAGGTAGCTGAAATCCCCCATAAGGCTGCAAACATAAGGCTGCTCCCATCCATCTGCAGAGGACCTCTTCTACTCTCTTCTACTCCCCTAGTCAGAAGACCTGTAGCAGCCCCCCCACTATAATGTCATCTAACCCTGTTCCCTCTTTAAGCCTAACCTATAAACTGTCAGCTCCTCATCCGTCCCCTGGTAGGGCCATACGCTCCAGCTGGTCATTGACAGAGCTGGTAACAACACCTCCCTGCCCACCCCCCCCCCCCCCAGCCTGCCCTTTCTAAAGAATCTATACAACATTTGAGCAGCCACTAGAAATAGCCTATTAAATTAAGTCCCTAATTTTGGGCCCTCTGGCAGAATATATCATGGTTATGCAAGACTGATATGTAGAAATGCAAGTTAAATCAACTGTGAAATTTCAGATTCAAGTCAAGAAAAAGGAAAAGGTTCCTATGCAACTCATCTCACTTCATTCTCATGTGTTACTTTCAACAGGAAGTTTGGTGCATTTGCTCATTCCGTGCAATACACACCAAAGACTGGCGATGCAACTTAGCATTTCTTCAGGAACATTGACATCCCTTGTTTCCCTACACACAAACATGGTTCAATACACTTAACCCTTACTGCACCTGGTTACATGTGCTATTTGTAAAGGTAAAAAAATGTCATTTACAAAAGAGGAAAAACAATTTGTATTTTTGCTATAGAAACTTTGCCGGCACTATCTACTCTTTAACATTTAGTTCTGAAGTTACCAAGCCCAACAATTAGTAACAGAATCTACATTTTCCTAATGTTACTCATCTTAAACAAACAAAAAAAACACCTTCAGAGAGACTTTGTATGCATAGTCTGTGTTATACCTCTTAACATAGAAGCAGTCAACTGTTTCATACACATTTAACTGTGCAAGAAACCTTGCATGTGGAAAAAAAAAAAGCAACCCTAAACTCAGTTATAAATCAGCATAGACGATAACCTTGGCCATCACAGCTGCATCCAAAAAAGCCTTGTCTCTACCAGGATGACTAGTTTTATATCATTAAATTGCACTGGTTCAGAGGAATTTTCACTACAAGAAGCACTTTCCTGACAAAAATAGCCTTTATCAAAAGACAAGCATGACTCCATTTAATTTTCTTTCAGTTTGCTCAACTGTTACAGAAAAAAATCAGCTACTGAGTTGGTTAATGAGGCTGCAATTCTCATCTTGCCTACCAACTTCTCAACCATGGACGCAGTCCAAGGCAAGTGCTATTGCTATGCCAAGTTTCACAGTTTAACTATCTGAATGCAAAAGCAGCTTCTAAAGTCTTCCTCACTTCGTGCAGTTCACTTTGTCAGCAATTTTCCAGTCCCTTTTGGAATGGGTGCTCTGGCCAGATTAGGAATAGTAGTTTTGTCAGGAACTCAATTTTGGAATATAACTAAACTCAAAACACATCAAAACAGAAGTTGAATTTATTAATAAACTCACTTCTTTACTACTGAGTGCTTGCAGTATATGCATAGTTTGTTATGAGAAGCATATGGTGTTTTAGAGTTATGACTTTAGTTGTCCCTCTTTTGAAAACACACAGAAAACAGCTTCTAATGCATATTGGGAAGATAGAATCACAGTAGGAAGTCTGACAAGATTTCTGAGCATGCTTCTAGAAATAAAAATAATATCCTTAATTACAATTACAGCAGGTATTCGGATGTTAATATGGAAAATATTTAAACACCTTTCCTAAATCAACTGTGATGTGCAAGGAATAGCATTTACTTCTTACCTTTACCTTGTAAAGGTTTGCTGGTTGGAGATGAATAGTAGACAGAAGGAGAAAGCAAACCCCAAAATCTTGCTCTGCGTTGAAATCTGATAGGTACGTATGAAATTTAATGCTAATGGATGAATAAAAAAAAAAAAAAGAGGTCCCAGCATTAGTTTTTTGCCATTTGAGGAGGACAAACAAAATGGACGGCACAGAAACAAGGACTCCATTACAAAAGCAGAAGAATATCGTGAAGGTGTACTTGCCACTAGCAGTGCATTACCCATTTATTCCCTATTTAAGTGCAATTGCTATGCACATATATGCAAAAAGCAGTCATTCAGAAGCACAAATACCTGTTAATAGTGTTTTCTTCTGCTGTGACAGCCACAATACCTACTCCCCCTCACAGGCAGGTTCCCCACCAAAGACCCCCCCCCCTTCTAGACCAGATTCCAAGGGACCTTCTCGTCCTTCCTTCCTTACGTGCACCTCTGAGTCACCTGGAGCAGTGTTGCAGGAAACACTTCCTGTAGCTGAACGAGCGCCTCTGTTCCTGCCCCACTGTTTCCATGAGCAGTTAAAAGCTGTTTAGACATCCAGCCTTCTGCACTGCTTTAGACCAGGCATAGATGTTTCTGCAGCACATACGGGAGAAGACTAACCGCAAGAAACCATTCTCAGATACCCTCAAAATATCGAGGTTAAGCACAGATAAGTGAAGGAGTGTTCTGCGTCAAAAGTGGAGAGGTATGACACAAGCACAGAACAAAAGATGCCAAATTCACGAGGCCCAGTTTAAACACGGACAAATCCTTGCCCTTTTTCTGGCTGCCTGTATTTCATTTCTCACTTTACATTTTTGCTTGAGCAAGTCTAAAACATAATTATTTCATGAAGGCACTCCACAGCTCCAATATTAACAAAAAGCCATGTCAGACATCACCATGAAATGCACAACTGATTTTTATCTACATTAAGGCACTACTGAGCTTCTCATATTGTTACATAGGAACAAAACCCTACAGCCCTCTGTAACTTGTGTGCATTTTCTGTTGACTGTCTAAATCTCAAAATGACAGCTTTTGCTTCAAGACTCACAAAACCACTTTTTTTTTTCCTAGCAAACTTAATTTAGATCCCACAAATGTTAATGTTAGACTATATCCACTGCTTGCCTTGAAGCTGAAAACAAAGCAGGAGGCCTCTTTCACACTTTAAAGCACAGCAGCATGCAGGTACAGCTTGAATATCTGCAGAACTCACTGGTACCACTATCTCATCCTGGCAATTCAGCCCACTGGAAATTGCAGAGAGGTTACAGCTTACCTCTGTCCTACCTCCTCCTCATGTAGCAAAACTCTTCAGTGAATCAATATAACACAACACAAGAAACTAAAGAGAACACACAGGAAAGTAGACTCCAAGTGTTCCACCTGACCACAATTCTACTTTTGAAAAAAAATATGCAACACTACTACTGAAAATATTATGAGAGAGGTGAAAAACCGCTACCAGCAGAGAAGTCATATCTGCATTACTTTTCCCTTTCCACAGCTGGATCTCCTCCTCTCACCCCTTGTTAGTTAGAATGAGGCATTTACCTACAAATTTCCATGAAATTCAAGTAAATGTTAACTTTGTTCATTCATACTGTAAAATAAATCCTGCTAATTTAATTGCTGTCATTAAGATTAAAACTACGGAAGAGCACAAGTAGCCTGACCACAAGAAGGCAGCTCCGTTCCATACCTATACATAAATCTTCTTTAGATCAATCCGTAGTAGTATTTGGATAAACAAACTCATCCTGAGGAGTCTGAAAGCAAATGTACCTAGCATGGACCTACAGAAAGGCTGCTCGGTAAATGCATCAATGAATACATTGAACAGCCTTTCCTACCTTTATTTCAACTGTTTTATAAAGCATTCAAACATTTAAGTTGCCCTATTTCACCAGTACTCAGGTATTAAGTAGTTAAGAAATTGCACTGACGTATTTTATGTTCCAGCAATTGAGTAACTGTCCAGTGCATAAACTCATCTATATCTACTCCACGCTCAGATGAAGATCAGAGAAAGCTCCTGGAGCCCTTTGAGAGCCCACTGTATTATTTTCTAGCTCGAGTCATTTGGTCAACTACTGCAACTGTAGTATAGTACCTAGGTTTTTTTTGTTTTTGTTTCCTCTAAAAACAGCAAACCAATATGCTCAGTCCTTATTGCAACATCTGAACAGTTCATCTGGTATACATATCTGTTTGTACAGTTTCTGCTGACCAGCAGTCTCAGGGCTGAACAAGGGAATGAAGAATTGGTGTCAGAAAACACTCCACAAAGCGAAGCCCAGAACCATCTAGAACGATTCTCACCGATCTCAGGCCGGTGCACTCACAACTGCAGAGTATTGCAGAGCCACTCACACTCCTTGTACTCTTCCAGACTTCCTAATAGGAAGTTACAGCTTTTTCCAAACCCCCATATGTCCAGGCTTACTATGACTATCAGATCAAGTGAAAACCCCTGTTGCTTAACTACAGGAGTACCACAAAGCACAGTGGCTCAAACAGAACAGAAAACAGTGCAGCACATTGTAAACTCCATCTGGAGAGCTTACTCTTGTTCCCAATTGTGTTTTCAAATGTACTGAAGAAAGATGTTCCCATTACAATTCCTGCTTTTATATAGTTACAGCTGCTACAACTCCACAGATATTTTGCCAGCAAAATCAGATTCGGAACACAAGCTACTTGAAAACTTGATGCACTTTTAGAATTTCAAAGTAAGTTCAAAAAAACATGCATTTCTTAAGATTTCTGTAATTAGCAGTTAGTAAGTATTTCACAATTTTAGAACTGAAGAGCCACGCTCTACAGAACACAGGCTACTAAAGCCAAGTGTTTCACTGAGGTCACCTTTCCAAGATACACTTTTTACAAAGCTGTGTGTCAAGAAGTCTGGGCTAAACAGCAAGAACTCCCAAATGCAGAGAAAACCAGCAATTAGGTGTTTTCTAAATGAAGTCTCTGTCAAGTTTAGCACCATAGGTAGTTGCTCAGTAGCAAAATATTAGATGCTAGGTGTCCCTACAAATCAACAGCAATACATAACAGGCAAAAGCAGCTTGCTCAGTGTTTGGTACTTTCTCGATCTTCAGCAGTAATCAGTAAAGAAGCCTGCCTCTCCACGCTATTTTGCCATCAGAAACTCAGGATGGCTTTTAAATTTCAACAAGGATTAGACAACAAAACATCTTGATCTGGCCCACAGGTTGTAGTAGCTAAAAGCTATGAATTCTAGCGCTGTTATAGCAGCTTCTCCAGACTAATCCTCCTAAGTGAAATTAGGTAGATTTACACAGACAAGAGATCAAAAAGCATGCAGTTGCTTCCTTCAGAATTGGAACTACAGACGTCAAAAACCAAAGCACCGTCAGCTAATCCTGCTGGATAGCATTGTGATTTTTTCAATTGATTTGGGGGCTGTCAGGACAAGAAAGCTCTGTGCACAAAGGCAATGTTCTCTCACTTTTAAACTCCTAGCAGTAGCTGGTAGCATTCACTGCCCTCTGTTGATACCAGCATCTATTAGAAAAGCATTAGAGCAAAAGCAAAGATGGCTTTAAAGCAGGATTGAAATGTATATTCATCACAAATTGAATTTATCCATTAGGTAGCATTCTGTTTTATTGCTATGAAGAACCTCAGTGGCAACAAATATAATCAAAAGTCATTACGCTGCAGGACTGCAAGGGTTTTACCTATCAAAGCAGCATTTCAACATTTCTGCTACTGGGAAGGAGCTTATGCTTGCATCCTTGTACTATTTTTACCTGCAAAGTCCACCTCTCCAATGGCATTGACTTATTTTAAGGAACACAAAAAGCTGAAGTATTCGTTGCGCTTTTTAAAAAAGACAATGCTAGATCATACGTCATCTATTTCCTACTTAGTCCCTAAATAAAGATATCTTAGCTCTGTCCTTCCCAAAAATCTAGCTTAGCTTTACAAAGGGTTTAATTGGATTGAGTCTGGGGCTTTAGCGTAGTCAGTACGCAGCCACCCAGAAACCTGTGAAATAACGCAAAAGATTTTTGCCTTTTTTTTTTTTTAAGAGCATATACTCCAAATCAAGTTAACAGCTGCTTAGAACAATTTAAACTCACTACACCTGGATACCTCAGCTCAAGAGCAGAAGTGCAAGACTTATAAAGAGGCAAAACATATATGAACAACAACAAAAAAAACACTAATGAAAGGACCAACACCTCTCACAGCAGAACAGCATTTAAAACAAGCCAGGGAAATGAATGACAATTTATGTTCACCTTACTATGGGAAAGTTAAAATAAATTTATACACAGAAATCTCATATTAGCATAACTAAGCCAATAAAAAAGAAGAGATTTACGCAAATATGACTGTATTGAAGAGGCTTCAGATGCTAAGACTAAAACAATTAGTCTCCACTGCATACAGAAAGGATAAACCACTCCGCCAGAATAAAAACGCGCAAAATTAATACCTCTATTTCTGAGAAAAAACATTAGTTCAGGTAGAGCCATAAGGCATTTCAAAGTGGCACTAACGCTACACTTTGCCAAATCTTAGGAAGTACAGTAAAATTCCTCAGCGGTTTCAAGGTCATTTGTGTGTGCCTACAGTTACAAATGCTCTCAATATTTCACTGTGAAGACTCCAAACATCTACATTTCCAATTACATCTCATCCCTTCTTTTCCAATTAAATCTCGCCCCTTCTTAAAGCAGTACGCACAACTACCAATTCTGCATTTACAAAGAAAATGACTTATGAGCACAATAAGGCAGATTCAAAGTCTATGCTTCAGCCATCACCCCCAGCACAGCTTTTCCAAAAGGTGAGGGAAGGAAGGCAGGACTAGAACTGAACAAATGCCACTTCTAGATGCAGAATGCACAGCGTTAAAAGGAAAAACGCAGAACTGAAGCCCTAGGTAACAGCCCGCTGTCCAGCAGAACATATTCCCATTTACTGGGGTATTTTATCAACTCTGCCAGCGCAATTTAACATTCACCATCCAGGCAGAGATAGACAAAGTTGAAGGGCATCAAACTGGCTGCTTTTCAGTATAAAAGCCTGGAACCCCTTACCTTTAAGAGAAGCACATACATGCTGCAAACCTCTCAATTCATTTGGTACTGCTACTTCAGCAAACGTCACTTGTTAAGACAAGCAGACACTCAAGTCCTATGCAGCTGCTAAATCGCAGCACCAAAGTTGTCTCCCAAAGCCCCGCGAACGTTTTTAACACATTTTTAGCGCTCTGAACTCAATCACACCCAGCTACGACCACCACTTTTCCCCCCACACCACGAGAAATAAGATCAAATTTCCATCCCTCGCCCAAACGCGCTACACCCGCACCTAACCCGCCGTGCACCAACGCGGGTGGCACCCGTCGAGGAGCTCTTGGGGCGACACAGGCATGCTGCAGCACCCAAGGAAGGGCAGGGCGACCCACAGAGCCCCCTCCCCAGCACCCAAAGGCGCTTCCCTGCCCGGCACGGGCTGCATGGGAGCGGCGCTCAGTGCCGAGGGTGGGAGAAAAGTCACCGGGAGACGCTGCGGGCGAGACAAAGGGGGTTGCTCCACAATGCCCTGCCAGGAGAGCAGGTGCCAAAACCCGGCCAATTAGCACCACGTGGGAGGCGGGGGGGGATGAGGGGGAGAGAAGAGAAGGCGTTCAAAAAAAATAAAAAATAAAAAATAAAAAAAATAATGAAATAAAAAAAAAAATCTGCATGGTCGCACAAAACCCGACGGAGCCCGTCTAGGAGGAGGCGGGGAGGGGGGGTGGGGGGGTGAACGAGGGAGAGACGGACGGACAGACGGACACCGCCCGCAGCGGTCCGCCGCTGTCGACGCCACGCTGCAAAATACCTTGGAGTTTGCAAGTTGCCAAGTGCAGCGCTCCAACACTGCCGAAAAGCCACAGGTTACCTACGACGACAGGGCAGGATGAAAAGCCTCCGCACGCTCCTCGCTTTTACCCTCCCCTCCAACAACACCCGCTGCGACCACCCGCCCCCTCGAGCCCCCCCTCCCCCTCAGCCCCTCCTCCCTCCCCAAAACCGATATCCCCCCCCCCCAATTCCCCGTCGGCCTCCTCCCCATTCCTTTCGCCTCCCCTCCAACCTCCCCCCCCCAATTCCCCGACGGCCGGTCCCGCAGGGCGCGGATGCTCCCTACGACGACCCCCCGAGGGGGCTTTTTTTTGGGGGGGTGGGTGTCTGCGCGGCGCCCCCCTCACCCGCTGGCTTTGGAGGTGCCGGTACCCGCCGCCCCCACCCTCCCTCCCACTCTCCCGGCCAGTACCACCCCGCCGAAAGGAGAGCGATCAGGGCGGTGCCGGGCTGATAAAGGCTCCCACCGCCCGCCCCCGCCTGAGTGACACCGCCGGCGGCCACTCAAAGAGCCCCGCGACCACGGGGCCGCGCCCCCGGCACCGGCCGGAGACCCCCGCCCAGCCCCGGGCACGTTCCCCCCTCGCCCTGGAGGGGGCGGACCCCGGGCACCTGCGGGCACAGCGAGGCTGCGGGGGGCACCGGGGGGCAGCGGCCGTGCCCGTTCGCTGCCGGGGTCCGACGGCAGGGCACGGTGCCCCCCGGGGAAAGGTGACCACCGAGCGCCGCCGGCCGCCCCCTCGGGCAAAGCCCCGGCCCCGGCTGCGTCCCGTGTCCCCCTCCACTCCCTCCCCGGCTGCTTCGTCGTGCAAATCCCTTCCCCGCAATTAACAATAATTTGTTAATTAGCCGCGGAGCCCGGTTCCGCCAACCGGTCCTCGGGAACGCCGGGCGAGCACGTCCCGCGATCCGCGTGCCCCGGCTGTGCAGCTCCCCTATTAATTCTTTTCATATGGGAAATAGGTGGGCACGGAGCGACGTGCCGGGCATAAATTAAGCAACAATGGCAGCGATCGGGTCTGGTCCCCACCGGGAGCGCACGGGAGCCGCGGGGACAGCGCCTGCCCGCCGCCGCCTCCCCCTGCCCGCACCGCGCCGTCGGGGGAGCGGAGGGCGAGAGGTGGGGGGGGGGGGGGAGGGATCCCGAGGCCGGGACGCCCCGTCCGGGGGGCTCCGGCGGCTGCAAACTTCCCCGAGCTCAGCGGAGAGGGATCCCCGCCGCCCCGGGAGGGCGAGGGACGGGAGCGGGGGGGCTCCGCCGGCGCGCAAAGTGCGCGCAAAGCCCCGCCTGTAGCCTGCGCGCAGCGCCGCCGAACAAAGGGGCGCGCCCCCCGCCCGCAGCGGGCTCACCATAGGCTGGGGGGAGGCACCATACCCCCCGCCGTCCATCCATCCATTCCTCCCTCCCTCCATCCCTCTGTCCCCCGACGGTCGGCGATTTCTCCCCTCCGAGGGCTCGCCGCTTTCTCTGCGCACCCGCGGGCGCTGCGCGCTCTGGGTCCGCGGTTAATGCAATTAGGCGGAGGGGGGGTGTGTGTGATTATGTGTGAGCGTGTGTGTGTGTGTGTGTGTGGGGGGGGGGGGGGGGGGTCTTATCCCGGCTAATTCCCAAAAGCAGGTTTATCTCCTCAAAGCGATCCGCCTCCCGGCGCCCGCGCCGCGTGGGTCCGTCCCTTCGGATGCTCCCGGCGCGGAGCCCGACAGGGGGTACGGGGAGGAGGGGGGGGGTTAAGTTTTGGAGCCGTCGGGTGCGCGCACACCTCCCCGCGCGGCCCCGTCCCGCGTGTGCTCGGAGCCGCGAGCGCGGGGCGTGCAGGGGTTGGGGGGGGGGAGAAAGGGGGGGGTGCGCGCAGCGCACCTCGGGGGTGCCCGCGGCACGCACGGGGTGACGGAAAGAATGGAGCCACAACTTACCTTCCTGTTCTCTGCTTTAAAAAAAAAAAATAGGAAAAAAAGAAAAAAAGAAGGAAAAAAAAAAAGTAACGGTGCGGTTCTCCCGGTAAAGAAGCGGTTCTCTGGAGAACAACACGCAAGAGATAAATTGCGGGTAGTTCTGAAAGGATGCAGGAAAAAAAAAAAAAAAAAAAAAGAATAAAAAAAAAATCAAAACAATCCTCTCCCTCCCTCCCCCAACAGTCCGACACTGGGGAAAGAAAAAAGAAAAAAAAAATGTAAAATTAAAAATAAGAAAAAAAAAAAAAAAAGGAGGGGGGAGAGAGAACTGAAACGGAGCGCGAGTGACAGGACGATCCTCCTTCCGCGACCCGACGGAACAACACACACACACACAAAAAAAAAAAAAAAAAAAAAGAAGGAGAAGGGGGAGGGAATGGAGGGAGGGAGGGAGGGATGGAGGGATGGAGAGCTGCGGGAACAAAGAGCCGAGGGCGCTCGGCGGAGCCGGGCTCCTTCCTTCTTTTCCTTCTTTTCCTTCCTTCCTTCCCCCCTCCCTTTCCTAGCGGCTGTCGGCCGGGCTCCGCTGCTGCATGGCGGGGCGGCGGGGGGCCGAGCCGAGCCGTGCCGAGCCGTGCCCGCCCCGCGGCTTTATAGCAGCCCCGCCGCCCGGCTCCCTGCCCGCCGCCGACACGGGGCTGCGTGCGGTGCGCGTGCCCGCGCACGGCGGCGCGCACCGAGAGGGGTGGGGGGTGGGGGCGCGCGCGCTCTCCCGCTTCTTCTTCTTCTTCTTCTCCCACCGCCGCCGCCACCGCCCCCCCCCCCCCCAAGCCGCGCGTGCCGGCGCACGGCGCGCTGCCATTGGCCCCGCCGGCTGGGCCCGCCCCCCGGGGAAGGGGAGGAGCGCGATTGGCCGCGCGGCACGCCACTCCGCTGGGAGGAGGGAGGGAGGGAGGGGAGTGGGCGGGGGGCTGCGTTGGGAGGGGAGGGGAGGGGGCGCGGTGGGGGAGATGCTGCTGTCCCTGTCCGTATCCATACAGCCATCCGTATCCGTATCGCTATCCACACCCCTGTCTGTATCCCCATCTCCATCACTTTTCCTTTCCCGTTTCCTTTCCCTTTTCCCTTTTCTCTGTCCCCTTTCCCCTTTCCCCTTTCCCCAATCCCTATCCCTATCCCTATCCCAATCCATATCCATATCCATATCTCTTTACCCTTTCCCCTCCCCCTTTTCCCTTTCCCCTTTCCTCACCCTTTCCCCTTTGTTTATCCTTTTCTCTATTCCTTCCCTTATCCCAATCACTATCCCTATTCATTGTCCTTCCTTTTCCCTTTTCCCTTTTCCCTTTCCCTTTTCCCTTTTCCCTTTTCCCTTTTCCCTTTCTTTTCCTCTTTCACCTTCCCCTACTGCTATCCCCGTCCCTATCCCCGTCCCTATCCCTATCCCCATCCCTATCCCCATCCCATCCCTATCCCCGTCCCCATCCCTATCCCCCTCCCCGTCCCTATCCCTATCCCTATCCCTATCCCTATCCCTATCCCTATCCCTATCCCTATCCCTATCCCTATCCCTATCCCTATCCCTATTCCCGTCCCTATCTCCATCCCCACCCCTGCCCCTGCCCCTATATCCCTGCCCCTGTCCGTGTCCCCGTCCCGGTCCCCTTCCCCCGGTGCCGTTCCTCCTGCCCGCCCGCGAAGTTTCCGTCGCGGCCCCGGGGCTGCTGCTGAGATTTGCCCGCCCGGGGCTCGGCATCGAGGGCGATTTGTGGAAACAAACCTTCAGGGTGGAAGGGAGGGAGGGAGGGAGGCTGGGGGGAAGGGAAGGGAAAGAAGGGAAGGGAAGAACGAGAGGAAAAGGAAAGAGGAAGGAAAGGAGACAGGAAGGAAGGAGAAAAAAAATCTGCTTTTTGCTCGTTACGTGCTTCCTACGGCTCCTGCACAGAAGTTGTGCTCGCAGAGAGATCCCTGCTGCACGGAAGGAAACAGCTCCGCGTGGCGCTCGGGGACCTGCCCTCCATCCCTCACACCCCGTGCCCTTCACTGCACTTGCTCGTCATTCCTTTCCAGGACCCGTAAGGCTTCCTGGACGTGGGTTGCTTTTTTCCCGGGATAGACAAGGCGAGCTCTCGCACATTCAGAAGGTTCTGGCATCCCCGTATAGCAGACAGGAGCATGCGACTCCAAACCGAGCCATCAAGTGGTGCTCCTTGGGAGCGTCCTTGAGTGCTTATGAGTGATTTACACACCGAAAGGGAAAAGAAAAAATGTTCGCCTATCTTGTGCTCCCCGCAACCCTCGCACCCCACCCTTGTGACAGCAGCTGCGTGTTACACCGGGCCCGCTCCTATTTTCCTCCTGCAGAACCGACCGGCCTTTGGGGCGGAGGAAAAGGGGGGATCCCCCCCTGCTGGGGAGGGTCCGGGGAGTCCCGTCCCCTCCTTTTCCCTCCCCAGGTACCGTGAGATGCGCCCCCAGCAGCCCGTGTCGGGGCTCGGGAAGGTGCCCCCGGGTGTAGGTGATTTGTGCCTGGCGCTGATTTGTTTCTAATTATGGCGGCGCTTACCCTTTGATGCAGTGAGAACCGCGATTAGCGACGGGCTTGCCCCTGTGCTTTATGCTGCGGGTGCGTATGTCACCGATCTTGTGCACATCTTCCAAAAAAAAAAAAAAAGGCATTTGTCGCATTTGTCTCTTCTAGGCCGAATTTTGAGGCATGGGTTAGAGACCAGGGGGAAAACATCTGTAACACTAGTGCACTGAGCTGTCGTTACTGGCTTTAAGTGCCGGATGCTTTCCCACCTGGTTCAGTCCAGTGCTGAGCGGTTCCAAGCAAATGGCTGAGAGTCTTAGCAGAAAGTCAGCATTGTTTGAGAAGAGAAGGAAGGAAGGAAGGAAGGAAGGAAGGAAGGAAGGAAGGAAGGAAGGAAGGAAGGAAGGAAGGAAGGAAGGAAAGAGGAAAGGAAAGAAGGAAAGGATAAGGAAAGGAAGGAAAGGAAAGGAAGGAAGGAAAGGAAAGGAAAGGAAAGGAAGGAAAGGAACGGAAAGGAAGGAAAGGAAAGGAAAGGAAAGGAAAGGAAGGAAAGGAAAGAAAGGAAAGGAAAGGAAGAAAGGAAAGGAAAGAAAGGAAAGGAGAAGGAAAGGAAAGGCAAGGAAGAAAGGAAGGAGGAGGTGAAAGAAACCCGGCCCAAAAGAAAGAACAGAAGGAAAAAAAAGAATAAAGAAAAGAAA